TTCAGACTGAAAAATGAGAAAAAGAGAGGTTATAGTAAGGTTTAATATGTTTTGGTAAGAATGCACTGTCAAATGTCAATTAGTGGGTCAAGCATTAAACTGTGTATTGACTATTGATTAGGCTTGAAGGGTAGTTGTTGACTAATCCGTGTAGTGTGTGGTTTTGGTTTAATGAGGGCTTATCTCTCTATTAGCAACTTGCCATATTAAGTGGTTTTTGACCTCCAAAAAATGGTTGAATTTAACAAGAATAGTGATATCTATATGAACATAAAATTAGCATGTCCCACAATTTTTTTTGTCCAAACATCATTTTCTCAAAATTTGTGGAAAGATGAAGTAGAACTTTAATCGGAAAAACAGTAGATTGGATATTTAACCATTTGACTAAATGAACTTCCTCTAAATTGGGCACTGCCTAGACGTAGTGTTGCGATGATGTAATATATATATTTGTAAATCGCTATAGCCATGAGGGCTAATTGCTTTTAAGTTTTAACCAACAATCCTCAACAACTAATATATATTTTGTGATGTAAATTTATTGAGTCAGGATTCTCTCTGGTATGTTTCTAAAAAAAAAAAAAAACGATTCTTTGTGGTATAGTATAAACCGGTACAGAACTATTTTTTAAGCTTAACACTTTGGTTTGTTATTCTTAACATTAAAACCAACACAAAAACGCTCCGGTTTGATTTGAAATTGATAAACGTTATTTCGTTTATAATAAAATCGATAAACATTAATAAAGCTGAACGTTAGAACAATGGTTCCAAGCTCAACTTCTGGTGAACCTCTAATTATGATTATGTGGCTAAACAAAAACAAGTTAAATATAGACGCACATTCGAATACGAACCGAGTCGAATATAATGAGATGAGAGATCTAAAATCTAACGGTGGTCGGGCCAAAGCAGCTAAGTCCCATAGCTTTCTCAAGTGATGTGGTCTTGGCCTGTTTGGATCTGATCAAATCAGCTGAAGAAGAAGAAGAAGTACGAATTGGGACAGATATGGTACGGACACGAGCCATGGCTTCTTTGTGGAGTAAACGGAGAGGGTAATTCCACCGAGCAACTCCTTGGTCTTTGAGCACTTCCACCGTTGCGATCGCCGTCGCCACCGCCGTCGTCACTTCATGGTTTGATTTTCACG